CTCTCCTGCAGCCCCCCAGGGAGTTCAGGGTGTGGAGGAGCAACGCCGTGCCCCCGCCGGAGACCTACAGCCTGCCCGAGAAGAAGCCTCCGCCGCCCCCGGCCCTCGACATGGCCATAAAGTGGTCCAACATCTATGAGGACAACGGCGCCGACGCACCGCGGCAGGCCAGCAAAGCCAAGTTTCTGCCGGATGAGGAGCAGGAGCCCCTGGAATCGGGGGAGGTCCTGGCAGAGGGCAGCTGCGCTTTGCACAAGCGCGTGTGTTTCAGATTTGTGTGCGCGAAGAGCCGGATCGGGTGGGTGGGTGCTGTGAGCGGAGCCCTCCCTGCCCAGAACTCGGAGGAGGTTCTGCGGGTCCCTCTGGCATCCGACGAGCCCCAGCCAGTTGGTTGCAGAGATGGTCAGGCTTTGGTGCGTGTTCTGGTTTTCCTAGAATCAACATAGACTCTCCAGCAATCTCTCTGTGCCCCTTCCGTTGTCATTAGTGGAAAGATTGGAGAGTCAGTAGAACTGTAGTTATAGGAAACTTACAGGTTCAGTCACGGTACTGCTAAACCAGAAGGTGGTACAAGAGCTTCTTTAAGCGCTGCTGTCTTGACCTTGGGTGTAGATGGAGGTCGTATTATTTTTATAATGTTTGCAAAACTTGAGAGCGGAGAGGGGAGTGAAATATAATGCACATGTGACAGATTACTGAAGAAAATATTTACTGTCCTCTTCACTTTTAATCATGGTACAAGCTGTCATGGTAATCTAGGAAGTAAAGAAATATTTGGCAGGAAGGAGGAATAATTTTTATAAACGATTGCTGGAGGAAGATGGCCAGTAACAACCAAGAGAACAAAACCAGAAGAAGAAATTCTGGGCTTTCAGAACACATGATAATGTTTTCATTGACCAGTAAAGATGTCAGCGAACCTTTTCCAAAGGAAGGTTTTGCTGCTGTCTTGCTTCTTTTTTTTTGGTCTGTTTGTCCCTTCAACAGCGGCAGTTTTTCTGTCTCTTTCTTGCTCCATTTTTTCTGTATCCTTCCCCCCACACACACACACATTTCTCATAGCCTTCATTCAAAGACTGGGAAGATAAACTGTTAATTGACCTTGACATGACTTCCTGCTTCTAAAATGTCATTTTCTAGCTTTTTGTCTTATCTATTCAAATAGTAACTTTTCTAGAACAGGAGCATAACAAAGCTCTATACAGGAGCATAACAAAGCCGCCTCTTAGTTATCCTTGATGGTCTGTGGTAGTAATAACAAGTAATCATTCCTATTCTGTCCACATATTGGCCACATTCCAAAAGTGAGGATGTTGTCAGTTAATAACTGCTGTGACTTTTTTCCAGGCATCTCAGATATGGTTTAAGTTGGTTGTTCTGGGACAAGGATGGTGTTTAAGACAAAAATACTGGCTTTGCTGACTTTGATTAACTCTGTCTTTTATTTAAAGATGACGAAAAAGATGATGAACCAGCTTCTGCTAAGAAACGTAAACTAGACTCTGGGGAGCAGACAAAGAAGAAGAAATTATAAGCAAGGTGTGCTGGATTTAGCTGTAATGAGAATTTCAATGAACTTGGATTCCTCTGCTGGAATGGGAAACAAATACATGTTTACTGAATTTCTCTCTCCTATTGGGTGGGAAGTTTTATTTCTGTAGTATGCTTGCCTTTTGGAAAGCACAAAATTAAATGGACAGTGTTGTAGAAACTTGTCTACTGAACAAAACTTAAACCTGTTTATGTAGAAGAGGGATTTAGAAGAGGGATCCATCATGATGGATACTTGTGCTCATGCAGGTTACAGGGCTTCATGGTATTTTGTTTATCAAGAAACCTGGTAACCTGAGCTTTTCTGGACTGTCTTTTCCATTGTGTCAAAACCTTTTATAAAGGAGTATATACTAAAAATTCTTTTAAGTGCTGTTGTATGATATGTTTGCATAATGTTGTTTTGAGATATATGTAAAAACTGCAAATAGGTCACTGGAATAAAACTACATTTGAAAACATCTGTAGTATAAATATTGCATTGCATGCTTTTTGGTGAATAGGAGGGATGAATTCTGTGCTGTATGTATTTCTAATGACTCAACAGATTCCTCAGGGTTTTATTTGTAATAAATATACAACTGCAAACTGAAAAAAAAATGGACCTAATAATGGCGTTTAATATCTGATAATTATTTTTGATGTTATGCGATCTGCCTCAGTGAAACATGAGACTAACTGATGCAGGAAGAATTGAAGCATTTAATGTATTCTTCCTAAAATTGAAAAAAAGGAATCTAGATATTTATGTGGAAAAAAAAAATGACAAAAGGTGTGATAGAGTCTTTATTGCCAAATTGTATTTATTTCAGTACAAATAGTTGGTAATCTTCTTAAAGTGCTAGTCGGTATATGCTGCATATGTGATATTACGTTCATAATTTTTATTTTCCTTCTGTCTTGAACTAGGTCTAATTTGGCAGAACAGATTCTGTAAGCGTATGTGCGCATATGATGGTAATATTTTTGAAAGTGATTTTTAAAAAAAAATTCTTTTGAACCTCAACATATAGAAAAATGTGAGTATGTGAAGTAAGCAGCAAGTGTTGCAATTCTCGCCTTGGCAGTGTGATAATGGTTTGTCTGGATCCTTCTCTACCTGCAGACTCTGTGACTGCATCTTGCTGATTTTACAGGCTATTGGACCAAATCCATGATATATTCCGCCCCTGCTGGTCTGGAAACGATTCAAAAAAGGGTAGTTGTAGACAGCCGAGGGTTCCCCATGAACCAGCTCTCCTAGCAGAAGTCTGCATATCTGACACTGTCGTAGCAAGCGCCAAGATGAGAGGTGGTGGTGTAGGCAAAGCTGATGTAGTGCCAGATCTGTGTATGGTTTCTCAAAATACTCCTTCCTCTTGGGTTGTGATGGCTGGGCTGGAGCAGGGACTAGGCTAGCAGGGAGCAGAGCAGAGCTGGCTTCAGGACTGCAAGGGGAAACCTCCCATGCACTTGATGATGACCCTGCAGAGTTCCAGCTGGGATGAAGACCCCTTCGCAGCAGTCAAACATGACTGCTTGCTGAAACGGAGCTTTTACTAGGTGGACAGCCAGTGTAGCACGACAATTCAGGAGCTGTGGCTGTCTGCATTGGGTTGAGTTGAGAGACTATAAATGCCCATACTTTGCTTTGTCTAGAATGTTAATTCTCCCTCATTCTAGTATAGCGTGTGAAACTTCCACTAAAAAATATAATAATGCAGACTGGTTCTCTTACAAGAATAGCTGTGTCCATGCAAGTAATGCCGCCTTACATCATCTGCTTCAGGGTAGATTGTCACAAGCTACTTGGGTAGCTGGTCTCTAGGTCATGGTCATCTGAGATCACATGGCTTCTGTGAGCTTTGCTTACAAAGAAATGAAGAATGTTTTTCTTGAAGTGCTGAACGTGAAGTCTCTGAATTAAAAGGCTCACTAATCTGTTTCTTTTCTGCATCTGCTCTTCTAATGTAGCTAGGTTGAGGGTGCTAATCTTCAGAGAATGTGGTAGAAAAAAAGACTTGTTATGCTCCTTTTTTAACAGGATTGTCTTTAGCTGGCACAGAGACCTAAGTGTAGGG